TATATATATATATATGAACATATGTACAGTACCATGGCAGGTCTTGATATAGACACGAAATGGAATCTATTGACGGAAATAATTACATTGGAAAGTCAATTAGGAGCCTTATTTTCAGTTGGACACAAATAAAATGCATCGTGTTGAAAACGTGAAACGTTGCCTCAAAGCGTAATTGCAAAACACACGCAGTGTACCAATCTAATTTCTATGAGACAGGATTGGTCTGAGGGGGGAAAACACATTTGAATAAACAGCCTGGTGCAGTTTGTAGTCAAAAATCCTTTTCAAACATAAAAAACATCAAAATGATATTGTTTCTAATGCCAACTCTGCAAATTCACAAATCCTAAGCTATCTAGCTCGCACAAAACCAGAAACACATTCTCCAGCTTGGCTGAAGCCGGTCAGAGCTTGGCCCAAAACACAACATGCATTCATCAGTCGTACTGGTTTCAATTGGAGGGAATAATGTCTTTAGTCGGAGGAAAACATCCACTGAGAATCAGTCGAGTCTGCAGCTGCGAGTCAGACCAAATCAGTGAACGCCGTCGAGCAGCTTGGATGATGACAAGGAGCCACATATGGAATTTTAATTGAGCGCTGTATACGGTTTGCCGGTTTAAGGGTCTTCCGGTAACGTTGGTCTTCACTTGGAGCCTTTCCAGACCACGGTGAATGATGACTGTGTGAGGAGAGCACCACTGTGGTGATGTCTTGGAATATTTTGGAAGTAACTTTCAGTGGCTTAAAAGTCTGTAAGATGTAGTTGTTTTTGTTTTTAAGTTAAACAACTGTATGGTCTCAACTCTCTTTTTGACGAACTGGGAAACTATATCAAAACAAACCTTTGGGGAGAAACTTCTCATCAAATGCAGCCACTAAATTATCAACAATATCTTTGCAGTAGAAGGTCAAAGGGGATGAAACAACCTTCAGCTTTTTTCATTTATAAAATACAGGAAGCTGGCTTTGATTTTATAGATATTAAATCAAAAAAGATTACGACCTTCATAACAGACAAAAAGAAGGAACTGTTTAATCTTCCTCTGGAATAATCTTGTCATGGAAATGATTAAATTGATCTCACATATGTTTCTAACATCAACTGGTCACAGAAAATATTCAAATAAATCTGCAGAAGCTTGTCCTCACTGCAACACTGTAGTGAACAGACACCACACCCATGGCACCACACATCAACAGACCACACACTCCTTTGCATTGAAACCCCCATCCACACTCAACAAGGGATGGCAAAGGTTGCAACGTCGATGACGACAATGTCGCCAAGCCAGGGGATAGCACAGGAGGTCGGGGGTGCATCGATGCTCCCTGAAGGCGCAATTAGTGCTCCACTGCAGGAACAACGCTAGACCGGGTTCCTCCTCTGAACCAGAACATTGTTACACTAATTAATAACTCAGTCGCATCAGGGCGGCTTCAAGACAACAACAACAACAAAAGGAAAATCAGGACAAGAGGAAGGGTTTAACAACTGTGTGCTGTGTGGAAAATCTGCAAGCTATTTGATTTAACCATTTCCATATGGGTGGTGTATTGTCTAATCTAACTGCCCTCAAACTGACAGAAAAAAACAAACAGCTAAAATGCAGTTTAATAACATTTAAACTCTCACAAATATCTCAGGAAAATGTGAGATTTTTTTTCAGTCTTTATAAATGAAAGAGCAAAAGCATGTTTGTAAATCCTGCAGGGAAAAAACAACCATAGAAGCCAACGTACGAATCTCTCTCCCTCCAAAGCAGCTTTAATAGACCAGAATGCAATGCAGCAATAGTGTTGAATAACAAGTGAAACTAGATGCAAACAAACTATGTATGGTTTTAGATGTATGGTAACTCCCAACGATGTGATTGATTTTTCGAGGGATTTTGTAGAAGTCGGAAATTCACAGTATTTTGGACGTTTTTTACCCACTTGGCTGCTCACGAAATATGTCCGAAAGCCAAAGTATACCACGCGCACGCGGTTTAAATGGAAATTCTTACCTTTCTCCTGCTCTTACTTTGGTTTCACCACCTGGAGACCTTTCTGACATCATGAAAGGGAAAACACAGATGTAAATAATGACATTAACGATGCACCACTACACGCCTGCAGCCATCTTGATTAGTACACCTGTGATATTAGTTGGAACCTCTGTGTGACGAGTCACAAATGTAAAAGTCTAGACCTTCAGCTGAGCGCAACACGCTCACACGGTAACGGATCATCTCAGAGCTGAGGAAAGACATTTTGATGAAAGGAAATCACAATGCAATTTACAACATCAAAGTTATCGGAATGAATGTTTGTATTCACCAACAAAATGCTCCCACAGAGACCAGAGAAAATAAAAAGAAAGCAAGCAAACATGTCACTGCATCAAATGCGTCAAAACATGATAAATCAGACAAAAACTTGACATATTGAACATTTAATGCTCTCGTATGTTTATGGGAAGTCTTTAATAAAACACTGAGCTCAGTCAGAGGCCTAAACGTGCGCTGCAATCTTTATTCATCTGTCATGTGGACAGAGCCAGGCTAGCTGTTTCCCTCTGTTTCCAGTCTTTGCGCTAAGCTAAGCTAACCGTCTCCTGGCCCCAGATTCGGGAGTGATATCGATTCTCGTCTGACTCTTGGCAAGAAAGCTAACAAGAGCGTTCCCCAAAATCCTGAACTATGGACGGCGTCAGTGCTCTCTGCAGTGCTGTTTATTATGTCCTGTTGACCTGTGAAGCTTGTTAAAGTGTGGACGACACTGTGACTACATGCCTTTAGTTGTTACTCTAAGCTCACTGAGCTCCTGCCGAAATACTGTAAGTCCCGGCGTCGCTCAGAAACAACAGCTCTCTTTTCATCAAACCCTTTTTTTTGCACAATAACGTTCATTGAAACACATTCACCGCAGGGAGCTGTGGAGAACAAGTGTGCCTTCTGCTCTGTAGTTGGGCAGCTGATCCGTTCTGTTCGAACACATGGTGGTCTAAGTGCCTTGCTCAAGGGCAAGCGTCTCACTCTTCACTGTCTCTGTATAAATATATATTTGAACATGCGTGCCCTAAAACAAGGTCGGCCACAGGTTTGTTTTATTACATTTGCTGCTCAGCTGAGCTTGGATGAAGGACAATCAGTTGATTCTTTATGTAAAACGTGTTTTTTCACAACTAAACATTTTGAAAACCTCCCAAAATACAGATTAAACCAAACTGCATGAGACATATTGCAGCATTCAGACAATCACTGAAACTCTACACTGTAAAGACTGGTTCAGCTGAACTCAGAGGGGTGCCAGTGCTCCTTCGGGACGCCCTAAACCTCACAGCAGCATTCATTTTCAATGCATCTCCTCTTCTCTTCTTCTCTCCGAGCTTTAGATGTAGATTAATATTTCAATATCTTCTGGCCATAATCACGTCAAAGCCTGATATATTCTGGGCTGAAACTGCTCAGAGTGGGACTTTGTAAAATGGCACATTATGTGCGGAGCCATCTCGTGCCTCCACCGGCCCGAAGGAAACGTTTCACATTTCTATTCTAGAAGGTGTGGCAATTTTATTTGCTCGGGACACACCTGTTTCTTCAAAGCTGTGTATTTTTTAGGAGATCTGTTTGTGTATTAGTATCTTTTACTTGCAGATTTTGTTTTGGAAAATTTCACAATTCTTGCATGTTGTCATGCGGTGGCAGGACTTCATTGTATATGGTATTGTTTAAATGTAATGTAATGTATATGTTCATGTTTCAATCCATTATTCATACAAAACTGGTTTTATTAATATGTAGTGATACAGATTGTCATTTTAGATATATCTGAATCTTTTTCAGTTCTACTGGAGTACTCTGGCAAAACATAATTATATTCCACATGTAGTAATGGTAATATTTTCCGCCACAGTAGCCAAACAGTTTTAGGGAATCAAGCTCACACTTTAGGAACCAAGTGCAGATGCAGCTTACATAAGATTTTTCATTTGGATTCTTCTTCGTTTTCAGAACCCATGAAGATTAGCAACTGCTATTGCAGACGCCAATGAGGAGCCAATCAAATCAACAAATACACAAATGCCTGACTGTAGTAGTTTGAGACAGAACTATATTACTATATTACAGAACATATTCATTTCCTCCTTTGTTGTTTCCTCGTTTTAAGAGCTGCAGTTTTAATTTGTAAATATCAAATGTTGTAAAATGTACTAATGTGTTCCAATAAACTTGATAAAAAACGTAAAAAAACGATCTCAGTCAAACCCTTAGTTATTTTATAAATTATAAATCTGTGATCCACATTTGATTTACTTTGAAGAGCACCGAATTGTTTATCAGCAGCACTTATCCCTTTTCTACTTTGTATTTAAAAGAAGAAAGCGGTCGAGTGAGACAGCATGAGTGGACGATAACCTTTTTTTTTTCTTGTCTCGTAGGTTGTCCAATTGAAGAGCTTCCTCCTGAGGCCCCCTGCTGACTGATAACAAGCCCGACTCATTCACAGCTTCATGAGTGTGTGCACATAACCTTCACTCCACCTCTGTGTGTGTGTGTGTGTGTGTGTGTGTGTGTGTGTGTGTGTGTGTGTGGCACCATGCTGTGGACAGTGATACTAGCGCTGCTGGTGCTTGTGCTGCTGCAGACTCAGCTGTCTGTGTGCTTAAGGGAATTACGCAGCAGGGGTTCCAGCTCCCCTGCCTCCTCCTCTTCGTCATCCTCTTCCTCCTCTTACAATGCCACCCAGCTGCGGCTGCCCGGAGCGATTATTATTGGCGTGCGGAAAGGCGGCACCAGAGCCCTGCTGGAGATGCTCAACCTGCACCCAGACGTGGAAGTGGCGAAGGCCGAGGTAAAAGACTAATAAATGTGTAACCACCAGTGGTGGGAGGTAACTGAGTAGAAGTACTCTCATAGTGTGTGTAAATACAGTTTTAGTGTGTACTTAAGTTAACTACATGTATCAACCGTACAGTTACTTTTCAGATTAAAGGAGCAGTGTGTGGGATTTAGTGCCATCTAGTGTTCACGTTGCAGATTGCATCCAACTGATTTATACCCCTCCGCTGTCTCCTCCCTTTCCAAGCGTGTCTGAGAACTACGGTGGCCTTCAGGTAACGTAAAAACGAGAAAGGCTCTCTGTAGAGTCAGTGTTTGGTTTGTTCGTTCTGGGGCACTGTAGAAACATGGCGGACTCAGTGAAGAGGACCCGCTCCCTGTAGACACGAAGGGCTCATTCTAAGCTAACGAAAACACGATTCTTAGTTTCAGGTGATTATACAGTAACTAAAATGTAGTTATGAATATTATATTCTATTTCTTCCAATAGATCTCTTCTAAATCCGACACACTGTTCCTTTAAGATTTTACTTTCAGAAAGTGATTGAGGAGTTATTAAATACAACATGTTGTTAAAGATGAATCCAGTGGTTGCAAACCTTTTTTGGCTTGTGGCTCAGGACAGAGATTTCTATGAGCTGTTAGCAGATACAAGAGACAAGCTTCTCACACAATTTAATTTTCAATTGCTGTTCAAATATCTATATTTCACAAAGAAAACATTGTTTTTTTGTGTATCAAAACTTCTTCTTTCTTCTCCAATTATTTATCTGATGATCCCTCAAATTTATTTGGTGACCCTTTGGAGGGGCCCGACCCCTAGGTTGAGAACCACTGAATTATAACTGTATATAAAGTAGTTAAAACTAGCTCCACCTCGAGCAGCCACAACAGTAAAATGCTGCCTTTACACCGATCTAATAATCTAATTTAATAACGTCATATGTTATAAAATATCAGTCATCTTTCACTGTTGATACTTATGTACTTTTAATCGCTGGACTTTTAATTCAGGTGTTTTTGTACATCATCATTAGTACTTTCACTGATGTAAAGGATCTGAGTACTTCTTCCACCACTGAATATCACACAGATCACACTCACACATGATACAGAGATGGGGAGGAATAAAATCTGTAATAATAATAATAATCACGTTTCACACCTGCAAAGACTGTGTTTACAACCATTTCATTTTCAACCAGTTTATATGTTTGTAAACTACAATTCATTGGGACACAAAATGACAATTTTCCATCTAAACCTCCAATTCTTCATATGCTTTTATTTAATGTGTGATTTTCACTTCTGCATGACTACTTCTCTGTGATAGTATTGCTACAAGTACTTTAGTTAATAGTTTTACTACGTCTTCCACTTCTGACATTGTCACACGTGACCCAATACCACTTCAAGGAACGATGATGGGAAATAACTGCCATGAACCATTACATCTACGTCACAGAACGTTAAACCAATGCACTGAGCATTTATTTCAAACAGATGTGGCTTAAAGAATCCAACAAGAATCATTCTGGGTGAAGTAATTCAAACTGCATATTAAACCTCTAAATCATATTATGTGAAGTGTGAGCCAGCTGCAACCACACGAACATAAATTCTAAGAAAAGTCAACAAGTTTGGACATGTAGGGTTGGGGTTGGTACAGGGAGTTCACATCCAGAAATTGGATTAGCTGATATGCAAGTGTGACGTACTTGAACTGATGTAATGTTCCAATAGCGATAAATCTGCATCACTGATGTACTGAATCAGTGTACTGATGTACTCTACTTATCCTCTTTTTCCCCAATAAACACTGATGTTTCCTACCTGGTACAAAGTAGTTTCCTGATAACATTGTTGTTGTTTTTATCCGAGCTGCAGCAACTGCGCCACTAAATCTTTTTTTTAAATAAATAAATCAAGTTTAGCTGAGCGTTTCCCCTATTGTCATCATCAATGCAGAGAGGCACACATACAATGAGAACAAAGTCAGCTCAGCCTTTATGTGGTTTGTACTTACGGGATTATGAAAGACGACGGGGTCTGTCCCGAAGAAGCTGCACAGAGAGAAATCAGAGGTGAAGACTGCAAAGATGGAAAGCTGGCGCGAAGGAATACATTGGTTTGGACAAGATGGGGACAAAATGAAATACGCTCAGTGACTGATAGAAACATTTCTCATCCCTACACATTCTTTCGGTACCGTTAAGGTGAGACGCTACAGGAAAAAACATTGTTTTTCATGCACTGGTTTGAGATTTTGGGCTGTTTTGCTTCCATAACATGTCTTTTTCATGACTAGTGGAAAGAAAACGTTAAAAAATACACATTAAAGTGTTTATTTTACTACTTTGTCTATTTGCATCTGTAGATTTCTCCTAAATTCACTTACATTCACCAAACTGTCCAGTTTCATTCCTCTCTATATTCTGAAGGTTTTTACAGAGGGGTTTGTTCATATATCATTCAGAGCCTGATTTATACATTTTATTGCTAAAAACTTGGCAAAAATGGATTGCTGTTGACAGTATTTTCTGATTAATGGAGTGATAAGTGAAATCCAAAATTCCCTTAGGAAAAACCTTTGACTCAACAAAATGATACAAGAATGTTGAACCTGGCTTCATCCAATGTTCAGATTCAATCCAAGTTCTGCTCTGGAGATGTATGCAATGCCTCATTTGCATATTTAAACATACGGTTTCAGGAAACCTGCAATACACAAAGTACTTAATGCACTTAATTAATTACGTGATAATGTAAGTAAGCAACTGGGGAAGTTTCATGGTGATATCTATTAGTTAAACTTACTCCCTCATTCATCTGGGGTGTCTCTCATTAAAGACGCTCCCTCATCAAGAAATTACATTTTAGGGACATGCGCTGCTGTCCTTGTCTTCATTAACCCCATCTTCTGTCCCTCTGTCAGGTGCACTACTTCAACGTGGAGGAGCACTACCGCCGAGGCCTGGCCTGGTACCGATCCCAGATGCCCCTCACCCTCCCTGGTCAGCTGACGGTGGAGAAGACCCCCGGTTACTTTGCGTCCCTTCAGGTCCCCGCACGCGTCTGGGAGATGAACCCCGCCGTCCGCTTGCTGCTCATCGTCCGGGACCCGGCAGAGAGGGTGGTCTCCGACTACACCCAGGTCCTCCACAACCGCCTGACCCGCCACAAGCCTTACCAGCCGCTAGAGGAGCTCCTGATCCACAAGGGCCACATTGACCCTGGTTACAAGGCGCTGCAGCGGAGCCTGTATTACCAGCATCTGGCCCGCTGGCTGGAGGTCTTCCCCAGGGGGCAGATCCACGTGGTGGACGGCGACGCGCTCATTCGGGATCCCTTCCCCGAGCTGAGGAAGGCTGAGAGGTTTCTGGACCTCCAGCCCAGGATAAGCCCCGACAACTTCTACTACAACACCACCAAGGGCTTCTACTGCCTCCTGTCTGCCGGGCACGACAAGTGCCTGGACGAGTCTAAAGGAAGGCCGCATGCGCCGCTCAGCACCCAGGCCTTTAAGAAGCTCTGTCGCTACTTCAGGAAGCCCAACAAGTTGTTCTTTGAAATGGTGGGGAGGTCGTTTTCCTGGTGCTGATCCAGCGGTGAAAAGCAACTGTGGAGACAAAACACCCCAAATAATGCCAACACATTCAGGGACACAGAGGTAGAGAGAGAACTGTGGTTTGTGTGTTTTTCTAGGTAGATGAGTGGACAGATTTTTGTCATAAACATCTCTTGTTGTTGATACCTACTCAGGTATAAATGTGGCCAACTGAAGCAGCACATACAATATGTGTGTGTGTGTGAGTGTGTGTGTGTGTGTGTGTGTGTGTGTGTGTGTGTGTGTGTGTGTGAAGACGCGTGGAGAATGTTGAACAGGTGGCCAACACAAACCTTTACCCCGACCATTCTGGTGCCTCCTTGGATGTATAGACTCACGCGACGAGGCTACGACTAACCGTGCCAAACGCAAGTTCGAGAGCGAAAACCACAACCGACTGCTTGTGAGCGCTCATTTTGTGGGGTGTTAAAAGAAGATGTGCAGACTTTGAAGTGATGTATAGAAATAGTGGTGAAAAGATGGTTGAATTCATTAATTGTTGCACTATGAACTCTTATTGCGTAAAAAAGAAAAGCAAATCGAGGTTCAGTGTGGATTTTTAAACAGAAACCAACTCCCCTATTTGATTTTTCTCAACAGTTGTAACATGTTTGTGTGCTCGTAGAAATGTTTTAGTTCAGTCATTCTGTTAACTTCTTTCTTTTGTTGTTTTACAAGATTGACTTTTACAGAAACTTTAAGTGAAAATACTTTCTTTTTTTACTTCTTTTAAAAAATAGCCACCTTGAAAGCTTGTTTTTTGGTTTCTTTTTACTTTCAAGGCCAATGTAGTACTATTGCTGGTTTGTGTTTTTTTATATAAAGATGTCCTAATAAATGTATTCAGTCCAACAGTCTCCTGTTTGGTACCAGACTGCATTGAACCCGGCTATAAGGGTTTCTGGGTTTAAAAACATCAAACATAAAGACACAGACGCTCTCTGAAAGCTCCTCTCTCTCAAAGTGCATGAAGACGTCAGCGCCGATCTAACATGTTCTTTACATCGACGATCAAAGGACGCCTGCGTCTCTTTTCATCGTGATGTTATTCCTGTCAAGGAATTACCTCCCGTTTCCCATCCCCACTGTAACAAATCACACCTGTGAGTCCACCTGAATCCTGTCTCTATCCAAAGCCGGAATGGATTTCTTCAGTTAATTCTGTTCATCTGGAAGGACTAGATCAGACTGACATGTCATGACGTCAGAGCAGAATAATGGGATTAAACGATAGGTGGGCTGTTTTTAACCCAGACATTGTTTTAGTTGTATGTGAGACTCACTCAGTGAAAGGTTAAGCTCTTGTTTAAGCCTTCACAAACAGGAATAAATCTGACGGCAACCTCCGGTTCTGAAAAGTAAAGCAAATGTGGAAGTGCCTTGAACTTGCATTCTTTCTAATGACCATCAGACGGCGACTTCTTTGGTTGCAAAAAGAAGTCTGATTGCATTGAAGTCTATGAGAAAATGACTCTACTTCTCTCTTGATTTATTACCTCAGTAAACATTGTAAACATGAGTTTATGGTCTCAATCTCTAGTTTCAAGTCTTCTTCAATACAGCATGATGTTCATTTAGTACATTATGGTCCATTTAGAGTCAAACAGACCATAAAGGGTATGCTTTAGGGCGGGGCTACCTTGTGATTGACAGGTCGGTACCACAGCGTCGTCCGGTCTGGGAGTTTTTGTCTTATAACTTGAATCCTTTCACAGTGTGCTTCCAGTTCATGGAAGTTAATTGTAACATTTTGGTCGAGTAAAAACCATTCGGTTGAACTCCACCCTCTTGTGTCACTTCTGGTTCCAAAAATCAAGAAGGTGACGTGCAAAATGCTGAATCTAAGGCTTCAAACAGTCCACAAACCAATGGGTGACGTCACGGCGACTACGTCCACTTCTTATATACAGTCTCATGTATAAATCCAACTAGGCCTGCAACTATGATTATTTCCATTACTGATTAAGCGGCCAGTTCTTTTTTCAATTAATCATTTGTTTGGTGTATATAATGTTAGAAATAGTGAGTATTGCCCATGAAAATCTCCTCAAGCTCAAAGTGACGTCTTCAACGTCTTCTTTTGCAGCATTCAATTCAACATTCAAGGAAATTCTCATTATTGTGGAGCTGCGGAATGAAGGAATCAAAGGCGAGTTAAGTTTGAAATCTAAGATGAAGAAAGAGTTTCCCACACACACACACCAAAAACACTTTGTGGTGTTTCTTAGATTCAAGAAATAAAGTATTTTAGTATTCTATGTGTTTGACCCAAATGAATGCTGTGCAGGAGACTTCTGACTCTCTGATTGATGGAGGATTAACTTTTTTTAAAACGCTGACACAACGGTCATCTAGTTTTTACACGATTTACCTAAAGAAACGTCCAAAATAATTTCTTCCAGGTTTTATAACTGATGATGGTTTCATGCTGCGGAAAAATGTTTTCCTATCATTTTTCATCAGTCAAACATGAAGACCACATCATGAGTTTTCTGTTTTCAAGAACAAGATTTAACATTCATGACAACTTGTTTCAAGAAAAGCAGTAACGCTGAATGCAGCATTTTTGTGCAACACACAATTTTGTTTTTTTCCCTCAGACAATGATGATTAAAACATCAAATGCTTTCAGAATTCCTCACAGGTTGAATGGTAACTCTTGTTGCAGCATCCAGCAATAGAAAACTTTTCTGAATTATTACCTGAAACACTGTCACTGTTTTGTGTGGTGCTTTTCAGGCGTCTCCTCTTCGATGAGAATGGGAGCTGAAGGCTGACCTCGGGCTGTCCCCCTCCCACCGTCCTCCAGAGGAAACTGTGAAGACAGAGAGAGAGAGAGAGAGAGAGAGAGAGAGAGAGAGAGAGAGAGAGAGATATGTAAGAATAAACAAACGATTCCCGCTCTTTGAAGCTGTGAGGCAGCTGTGTCTTTCATGTGTTCCCTGCTGAGGCTCGCGCTCATGTGGACAACACATCTCGTGTCACATCTGATCAGAGACATCTTTACTGCATGTGTTGGGGTTCCGGAGTTTGCAGCAGCTTCATAGCCAACTTTGTCTGGTGGTGTTTCTGTGCATCCGCTTCATCTGCAGGATTAGATGTTCTGTTTGTCATATTTGATGCATCCTGGTGTTTTGTGCCGCACTTCCCAGAGATCACCCGTCAGTCAAACTGAGTTTTTGATGTTTTCTTTCTCTGATCAGCCAAGATGGCTGTCGCTGCTCGCGTTGTGACAGTAATACACTTTTCCCACCAAAATGTGTACGTGTAAGCATATTTTTTAAACGCCCAAAACCCTCTGAATAGACTTATTTCCCATACAGTGCTGCAGGAATGAGCCAGAAATGAGTGAGCCTTTTTGCACATCTGGTTCCCTTGTCTCAAAGTCTGCAGGTTTTTTTATACTACAATCCTCGTTAATGTTAAAGCTTTAACATGACGTCAAGAAGGCGGTTGCTAACAAATGAGAATACAAAACGTCATCACGCCGAACTCCAGTCCGCCTTTACAGCCTTGTTGTGTTTTTACCAGCGCTCATGCCACAGTGGTGTTCGTTTATAGCCTAACGTTAGGTATTACTTCTGCCAATTGAATTAGGTTGTGTTCATTTGAGACGATACAATCTTGCTAAACAAAACATGTAAGTAACTCATTAGCCTGTTTGCCACAGAGCTAATGTTCTGCAACATGAGTTTTATTTGGTTCCTCTCAAGTTTGAATGAAATGTGTTTCAAGACGATCAGCAAGGTGTGGAGTCTGGTGGCTTTGGGGGGAGGGTGTTAATTGTATGTTTTGTACATTAATAAATTATAATATTTGTCCAAAAGCCTGTTGATTTTATTTTGTATTTACTTGGGTTGCTGACTGAAGACCAAAGCCAGATGTTAGAGGCTATTTTGTCCAGCAGGAAAGGGGCCTTAATATTTTGTTTTAGCCACATGAGCGGTTCTATGGATGGTTTGTGATCCCCTGACTTTTCTTCTAGCGCCACCAAGAGACCAACAGTTGTGGTTGTGAGTGGAATGTAATGCACATGGGAGAAGTTTGCCCTCAAGACTTAGTTTTAGGCAACAAACCCACTTGGTTGGGTTTAGGAAAAGATCATGATTTGGGTTACAGTAATCCCTTTCTGGTACAAAGCCCTCGAGGCAAACTTCTCCCATGTGCAAAATGTAAATGGACACAATGCTGAAATATAATCAGACTCAGATGTGAGGTTTTCTCATGTACAGACGAGTCGGACTGTGCAGGTTCTCAGAACGATGGTGGAGTTATTGCTGCTCTTGCAAAGGTCAGTCGTGTTGGTGTCGGAACAAGAATCCTCGCCGATTAATTTCAGAGTCATTACACCTCTGAGTCAGACATGAGTAAACAATGCTTTGGTTTAATAAACCACAGTTTTCTGTTCCCGTCGCCCTCGGAGCTGCTTGTTCTGCTGCAGTCACATCGCTAATCTCTTCCACATCATTTGCAGCTCATACAACAAAGAGATTTTCTGACACTGCAAAGGACATAATGCGATGAGCATGATGCCGAGGTGTAAACCCATTTAGACTCCTTTAAGTTTATGTCAGGGAGCAAAAGTTTAAAGGCTTCTCATGAGTGATTATGAAAATAAAGAAATGCTGCAAGCGCAAGGTTGTTAAAGATGAATATAAAAAAGCTTGAATATGCTCGCTAAACAATAAGCAAGCGTTTGACATTTGTCGAGCCAAGAAAGAGTTTGGCACATCCACCTTCCCCGTCATTTTTTACACTTTGTGTCTTGTCCAGCTTAAACAAACAAGATATTAATAATTAATGAGCTTTAGAGGTGATGGTAGGCAGATATTGTCCCCTTGGGAAAGAGCCAGGCTAGCTTGTTTCTCCCTGTTTTAGTCCTTATGCTAAGCTAAGCTAAGTGCCTACGAGCTTCAAGTTCATATTTACCGTACAGACACGAGAGTGGTATCGATCTTTTCATCGAACAGCAAGAAAAACAAATAAGCATGTTTCCCAAACTGTTGATTCTTTTAATAAAATGTGTCAATATCTATAAGTAGTGTGTTGCTACAACACACTCTCACGGTCGAAACAACATTACGTTGCAAAATGAAAGTTAGGTTTAGGCAACAAAACTGAGTTTAGAAAAAACATGTTGGCTGGGCTTAAAATAAGTACGTGCATTTAAGTTTAGGCAACAAAACCCCAACAACACTTTGAGACTCCTGGTGTCGAACATCGGTCTCGTGATTAAATGTCCTGTGACTTTAGCAATATGTAATACTCCGTCAATAACTGTTGCATAGTCATGAGGATGAGTTTAATTTGTGTGTCCATCACGAAATATGATCCTAGTTGACTTTTCATTGGCATTGTTTTCGTGTCCATGTACACAAAACCAATAGATTGCATTTTCTGACTATTTCTCGTCCTGTTGGTTATTCTGAGCAACATATGGCAACGTTTCAGAAACAAGAAAAGATAAAGAAAAGCATCTCATTGTGATTTTCTGATATTTTCTCACTATTTATTTGAAGAGTTTTTTTCAACAGAGGGGTATGTGAGAACATTTGAGAAATAGTACGACGTTTGCCCCTCACTGTGACTGCATCGCTGCAGTTTAAACTCAGCATCAGGATCTCTTTTGAAACTATGTATATCACTGCTTCTACTGCGGATATTTCAAATACTTCACGTTTAATTACACTAATGCAGCATCTCTGGAGAAAAGAGACGTTTCACCCGGAGGATTGGAAAGAACTTGCTCTTCTAAAGAAGTGATTTTCAACAGCAAAGTAAAGGATTTTAATTCATCTTCCACGACTGTTCCCTCCACAAATATTGACTGAAGTCAAGTTGTTGTAAGTTGTCAAGGTTGGAGCTCTAAGTGTCTCCACAGACAGTTGAAAGCATCATCAACAGCCCAAGTGCCCTTCTGAAAAGAATCACCACCAGCAACACCATTATTGCAAAATAAATCATAAAAAGCAAACAGCAACAACGCGACGGACATGTTTCAGAGTTGAACAGCAGGCAGACATGTGGAATATACATAAAGTACATCACATGGTTCTGTCCTTGGTCATGTTGGTCACACCACTACAGTTGTTCAGATGACTGCAAACAATTGTATGAGTCAAAGTCCAGTGGGGCTGTAAGATCACTGCATGTAAACTGTTTTCTTCGTCTAGTGGAAGGAAAGAGGAAATTCTTTGTGCACTTGAAAATCAACAGCTGGCGATGCAGTTCGTCACAGCCAGCATGAGAAATTCAGACAATCACAGTTTACTTGTGTTGGTGTGACTGTGTGTGTGTGTGTGAAACTCATTTGAAGTGATGCATTTTAATTTGGCTTAACAAATGAGAAATTAATATACTGACATTCATCTCCACATTTTTAGTATAAAATTATATTTTATATCCATCTGATTTCTGTAATGTATTATTAAACGTGCTTACTAGGGTATTGTTACAATGTTCACTGTTGTATGTTTGCTTCATGCAGCTTTTAAACTATATATTCTCTGAATATTTGATGCATGTATGGTGCAGATCTAGATGGCTGAAAGAAGAATACACTGTATATCTCTTACTGACTGATTCAGGATGTTATTGTGAATGCAAGTGGCTCCCCCTGCAGGACAAATGCTGATTTGACACCATGTAAAGGTTACTCACTAAAACAAAACAAAAAATCTAAATTTACATGTATTTACATTAACAGTCAAATGCAATTGTTTTCAATTATAAATAACCAATCTATCTTACTGAATTAGTTCCTAAAATATCTGAAATGTGAATATTTAAAAAATAAACTTATTGCAGTTTTTGTTCATGTAGTATTTGCAGTGCTATCACCTAACTTATTAGGTTAATCATATTCAAAACTGCAAAAATAATTCCAGTAGTTGTTTCAAGCCAATGACGACATGCGATGGGTATTTATTCAAAGATAAAATACGTCATTTCCCTGAACACATAACTTGGTGGACTTTACTTGAAAAAAGGTAATGACTGATAGTCGGGACATTGTGCATACATTTAGGTACTGCGAATACATTTTGAAAGCACAGATATGGTTCAACCAGTCTCCAAATATCAGGGTACCAACTCTATGGTTGTGATAATGGCTTCACTGTGAGGATCCCAGCAGCCGAGGACCACACTTCACTTTAAGGTTAACACATTTAGTTGGTTTTGTTGAAGTGCTATAGACGCTAAACACTGGGCAGAGGGTTGCAATAACTTTTTTTTCAATGATTTTTGAACAAAAAAAAACTTAATACATCACTATCCATGTGTAGTTCAAAATATTACAGCAAGTTAAGGGAGAGAAGCACCATCTCACATTTAGCTGTTGTTACCCAATTTGCTATTCAAACAAAAATTTTTAGAAACAGTAAATATTATAACTTCAAGAAAATAACCACAACACAACTTTTTTTTTTTAATATAAAAACGGTTTTAACAATTCTTTTTTCAGTATAAAACATTACAGAGTCCCAGGCCAATCAAACAAATTCACTTGAACAGAGTTATTTGAAATAATCATGAAATCCCCAGTCAAACCTTCTACAAGAACATACAAAGGTATTTTGTTTTTTGTCGTTAAGGGGTTTTCTGTACTTTATTTTCTAGTTATGGGAAAATATTACAACACAAATCCTAACAATCACTCTTCGTTTGCTATAATATTAATAATAAAAAAAGAACATGTGAACTCCTGGTCCTATCAAAGCCTAAGCCCCGAAATGTATGGTCAACATGGCATTTATGCAGTCTTCTGCTGGCCCTTCTTTCCAATGAGGGATTTGTGGATGTGGGGAATGACACCTGAAGACAAAATAAAAACATTGGTTAGATTAAATGTTTTATGCAAACGATAGCTGTGAATATTAGTACGGGACGAATAAGATAATTAGAGTACATTGACACCAACATACTAAGAAGCAAGTATGATGTTTTTACAATCAAGACAAAAACTAGACAAGAATGTAGCGGTCCACTCACCTCCTCCAGCAATTGTTGCCTTGATGAGGGAGTCCAACTCCTCGTCACCACGGATGGCCAGCTGCAAGTGACGGGGAGTGATACGCTTCACCTTCAAGTCTTTGGAGGCATTGCCCGCCAACTCTAGTACCTGACAACAAAAACGACAGAAATTAATAAAAACAGCCCCATCTCACACAGAAACATTTGCATGGTGCGACACCTAGTGCCACTGTTGACTACTAACATGCACAAAATGAGGGAGGCTTACTTCAGCGGTGAGGTATTCAAGGATAGCTGCACTGTACACAGCTGCTGTGGCTCCTACACGACCATGGCTGGTTGTGCGAGTCTTCAAGTGCCTGTGGATACGACCCACTGGGAACTGGCAGGAAACAGACATGGAACATTGTTTGAGCAAAACAAAAGGGGGTTAAACTTGAGGTGGGTGAAGCATAACATATGCAGCTAAGCCACAAACAGACATAAATAGATTGAAAGAGATTTACCTGCAGCCCAGCCCTCTGGGAGCGAGACACTGCTTTGGCCTTGGCTTTGCCACTGTCTTTTCCTGCCTTGCCACCAGCCTGTAGGGATGATTATAGGAAACAATAGAAGTCAGAGTGGGAAGTAAAGGTAGCAAGCAAGCACAGATAAGTGTGACACTGTAATGTTTGGATTTCTGGAAATAAATCATCCATAACAAAAGAAAAAAACATGTACTACAACATCTCATATGTTCAAATTAGTGGACATGGTAAGAGTTTTCAAAATATTTCAAATACATGTGTATGAAGTGGTAAATTACAAGTAAACACTCCCATAGGAAACGTTACAGATGCCCGGTTAAACTGGTATCACTTTCCCGCCAATCATATGCGTAACAAATCACATTAAAGGCGGTCACAATAACCGGTACCAGATATTTACATGCATAAAACCGGATATTAAACCAATTTTTTTTTTAAGTTGAGAAACCCAATACAGATAGATTCTGACAAAAATCGTTAAAAGCGGTCAGATGACGATGACCTCGCGACCAAACAGACGTTTAAGTTTTCATCTACGAATTTCAAGGGCTAAAAAGTTTGCCTCGCGCAATCACCTCGGCGTCAATAAACCACACAGTCGATTTTACTTCATTCTAGTCGTTTACAAGCTTCACGGTAAACTACTAACGGCTAACGTTAGGCTACTGAAAAAGCGTTAGCTAAACTTAGCTTGCTAATCCACCTTTCAGAGAGGCTACACAGTGAAAAAAAAAAAAGAAAAAAAAAAAAAAAAAAAAAACTTAGTATGAATCACAGAGTTTTGAGTTTCTAATTAACCTCTACACCTCTGCCAAATAGGAACTATCCGTCACAAGGCGAATATAATGTCGCATTTAACGGACCAAAACACCAAAACTCGGATTTGTTACGCTAACGCTAATGCTAACGTATTAGCTGACAGTTAGCTCTTTATCAAGCTTTTTTTTTTACCACACACATTCTGGTCGAATTCCCTCAGTTCAAATTCAAAACAGCACTTTCTACAGTTGCACGTTAATTGCAGTACGAGTGTACCGACGTCCCCCGTGAATCATTTAGCGTTAACCGAAGCGCACATACCATTTTCCGTCGCGTTATTTGATTGTAGAACTGAGTAGAGAGCAAACAATTCCGGCTCCCGAAAGCAAAGAAACAATAAACCCTTTCGCAAATCGTTTGCGTTCGACCCCTCGTGGGAGTCTAAACAGCCAATCAGATTGTGTTTTGTTACTTCGAATCTCTGTTGCGACCAATCGCCGAACAGCTTGCAGAACATTCACCCATCCCCCACCCCAAGATCATCGTGCCTGCCTTTGCACACGGAACCAACAAGTAGGCGGGACAGTATGAGTAGAGTGTCCTTCCAGGGGCAGCCATCCCAAAAATGTAGAAAATACATAATCAGGAGGCCGTAGTTGGAATTAACTCTTGATTTTCAGTACAATGACACTCACAACTTCTTCAAATACAATTTGTTTGGTGCTAACTGTGTTAGAAAACTGATTATGCCAGCAGTAAAGTGACCAACGGACACATTCTCGGTCGTAGATAGTCGTTTCACATGGGTTTAATACTGACGTAAAGAACTGTTATGAACTGCAAGTACAGTATGTACGTGAATGTCATCCAGGAGGCGGTGACGTTATAATGACAGACAGGACAATTGGCGAATGAACATGCGAACCCTCTATCTGATGTTGTAATTGGCAGCAGCAGCGGCCAATCAGAGCCCAGCTACCAGCCGTCCGGTATCCTCAGCGAGCTTCACAGGCAATGTGGGGGTGTGGGGGTCAAAGATACGCAGAGAAACGGGCTGCTGGTGGCGAAGATGGCGGATGGGGACAGTGGCAGTGAGCGCGGTGGAGGCAGCAGCAGCGGTGGCGGAGGGGGAGGAGGAGGCGGCGGCGGTGGATTTCAGCATTACCAACGGGAAGTGGAGACCCAGGAGCTGGCGTCGAAGCGGCTGGACATTCAGAACAAACGCTTCTACCTGGACGTGAAGCAGAACGCCAAAGGCCGGTTCATCAAAATTGCCGAGGTGGGCGCCGGGGGCTCTAAAAGTCGGCTGACCCTCTCCATGTCAGTGGCGGCGGAGTTCCGTGACTACCTGGGGGACTTCATAGAGCACTACGCCCAGCTCGGGCCTAGCACCCCGGAGCAGATCGCTCAATCATCCAGTGGTGGGGGTGATGACACCGGGCCTAGGCGGGCCTTGAAGAGCGAGTTCCTGGTGCGAGAGAACCGAAAATACTACCTCGACCTTAAGGAGAACCAGCGGGGTCGCTTTCTCCGGATCCGGCAGACCGTCAACCGAGGCCCCGGTTTTGGCGTTGGATCGGGTGGCATCCCCGGAGCCGGTCTACAGGCCGGACAAACCATCGCACTCCCGGCCCAAGGCTTAATAGAGTTCCGCGACGCCTTGGCCAAGTTGATAGACGACTACGGCGGGGATGAGGACGAGCTGGCCGGCGGCGGAGGGGGAGGAGGGCCCGGGGGCTACAGCGAGCTTCCGGAGGGAACCTCCATCATGGTGGACTCGAAGCGGTTCTTCTTCGACGTCGGGTCCAACAAGTACGGAGTTTTCTTGCGGGTGAGCGAAGTGAAGCCCAGTTACAGGAACTCTATCACGATCCCCTTCAAGGCGTGGGGCAAGTTCGGAGGAGCGTTCAGCCGCTACGCCGAGGAGATGAAGGAGATCCAGGAGAAGGTTAGGGAGAAGATGTACGAGAGGACAGCCGGAGAGGAGTCGGAGGGCGACGACGTGGACGACGATTGATGGATGATGGAGAGGAGAGGAAGCTGACAACATGATGCAAAGCCTGGCGATAAACAAGAGAGATAGGAACGACTATTCTGTGCATGACGAATCGAACTTTAAAATGCTAGAACAACGGAGTAAAATAAATAAATAAATAAATATATATATATATATAT